AATTTTTTGAGTCATGGGAAGAAAATTGATATTGTATAGAATTAGGCATGTTGTCTTGGAAAGGAATAGATGTGTGCTGGTGTGCCCTGGCTGTCATGAATCGAATCCCTATAAATCTCTGTATCCAAAACACCTTGGCTGCCTTGGAATCTCTAGAGAATAAAACTAATTCACAAAATCGAAAGTAGACTGATTATATGTATGAGACCTAATATGGGAAGCACTGGAAAATCATCATTGGTGAGCAATGATAGAAATGTTTAGGAACATAATATGGAACCATTGAGAAGAGGTAGAAACTGAAAAATCATTTATGATGGAAGTGAAAGAAAAGTTGAGTGTGGCAAATTCTATCTTCCAAGAATAGCTCATAACCGTATCTTCCACATCACACACTTTTCTGTTATGTGCTCTTGCCACTCCTCAGTCAAGAATGGACTCTTCCCTATACCCTGATATATTTAAGGCCCTTCATCTGCCATGAATACAACAGAAAACAATCTGTGCCAGGTCTTGGTAGAGACCTTAACTAATACCACAACCTTTTCTGTTTTCATGCCACCATGTAAGAACCCACCTAATTCTAATCCGATGGAACAGGAGTCAGTGTGGAGGTAGACTGCAATGCCTAACATACGAATGAAGAAGGCTTGAGTACCCAGTCTTAGATTCCTGTTCTAAACATTATCTGCAACTGCTTGAGAGACTCCCAAGTGAGAACTACACAGATGAGTCCAGACAATCAACAGTACCTTGAGAGAAAAAAAAAATCATAAAATACCATTTAAAGCCATTAAGTTTTGCAGTGTTATACTGCACATCACCAGTTAAAATATAAAGGGATGCCTGGGTGGCTCAGTCAGTTGAGTGTCTGACTTCGGCTCAGGTCATGATCTTGTGGTTCATGAGTTCGAGCCCCACATCAAGCTTGCTGCTGTCAGGTGGAGCCCACTTCAGATTCTCTGTTCCCCTCTCTCTGCCCCTTCCTCCCCTCAAAAATAAATAAACAATAACACACACACACACACACACATATATATACATACATACATATGAAAAATGATGTTAACAACTAGATTCTGCAATAACAGAAACCCCTAGAATACGAAGCACTGGCTTTGAGTGGACGGACAGAATCTTGAAGGGTACCAATAAGACTGTTAATGAAGGCATTAAATAGAATGACAAAATTGTCATTGTGTACCAGAGAATAAAGGTATCTGTGGATGGTGGAACTTTTTTTAAGGTAGAAAATAAAAAAGGAAGGAAACTTCCAGATAATGTTGACAATGCCACTTGTAATAAAATATGTATAGAGAAAAATGAGTTAAAGAAGTAAGTGTTTAACTTTCAAACACTACTCATAACAGCCACAGAAGCCTCAGGTATTTCTGAGTTTGAACACAAAATTGTTTCTCATTCACTTTTTCTCTAGACATTATATACTCTTAAAGCATGAGCTAGCTTCTGGATAAAAGTATGCACTTTCAAGATCCTTTACTAGTCAGAAGAACTGCCTGGTTAGATTGAAAAGTACAGACATCTCAAAATGAAAAGAACCACTAGAGTCCCCAAACTATAGGCTTAGGAAGATAAAATGAAAATGTGGTCCACTTCTTTTAGAAAATGAGTGATGATACAGAGTACGGGGTCTAGGTCTCAGAAGGTAAAGCCAAGAACCACAAAGAAACAGAATTAGTCTCATGGAGCAGGGTAAGAACTTAATCTAGAAGCTGAGAATGTGTGCCTTAGATTTTAGCATGCTAGGGACCAGCGACTCCCATGATCCATCTTTCTTCCTCTTTTGGAATGGGAATGTTTTTACAGTTTTCTTATTGCTGTACTAACATTCTATGTTGGCAGTGTAAGAGGCAGAAGACTTATCTCTTCAGTTAATAGATATTCATAGAAAAAGGAAATTGTACTCAAAGAACTATATCTAAGGAACCAAACCTTTGAAGCCTCACCTACATCTGGATATGATTTAGATGATGAAATTCTGGACAGATATCATAATAGGATGAGGCCTGGAATTTTAGAGGAGATGTTAAGTATATGCTGCTAATGAAAGGGATGTGAACTGTTGTAGACAGAGAAGACACTATGCCAGACCAGACCTGTCAAAGATGGCTATAACAGTATTTTCTAAACTCAATGTTTTTCTGCAATCTAATCATCAATAGTGAGTCTACTTTCCAACCCCTTGATTTGGTCAAATCCTTTGACTGCTTTGAGCAATAAGATACTACAAAAGTGATGCTGTCTAAGTCTTGGGTATAGACCATATCTGGTCCAGCAGCTTCTGGTCTTTACCTCATGAAGCCCTGAAACACCAGGTAAGAAACCCAGGCTAATTTTATGGAGAGAGAGCATAGGGGGAGGAGCACTATGGCACCAGGCTTGTCCATGAAGAAGCCACATTGGATGTCCATTCTCACCGACTCTTCACAAGATTCTAGCCCCACGCAACCCTTTTTGCCATGCAACCATGAGAGAAAAATGAAATGAGAGTATTGAGCCCAAACAATCCCAAACTCTTAATTTGGGAGTTGTTTATAGCCTAGCTAAATTAATTATAACAATTGAGAAGGGGAATTATATTTGAGGGAACACCAATGGTACACTGAAGGTGAAAGAGCATGCCCTAAATAATATTCAGAAATGGAGTCGAAGAGGTTTCACTATAATATTATATATTTAATTTTAGTGTAGAAAAAGATCATGTAAAGAGGCAATTGTCATATGAAGTAATCATGTGTTACAATTAAGGAAGGATTGAGTGATGCTGGAGACCACTGAAAATGAACCCAATAGAGAGTAGAGAAAAAGAAGAGAGGGAAGGTGAAGAAAGGCTTACATAGGAATTATTGCATAAAATGAGTCCCAGAAAATGATAAACAGCATGTGGTAGGGGCATTCGGAGAGGAGTCGTTAATTTATCTGAGCAAAGTTAGGTCTCTGAAAACTTGTTCAGGCAAACTGCAAGGAGTTTAATCGTGGTTTTGCATATTTATGGATGCAATTAATATGTACGTCAGATACACGTGTACATATATGTGCTTGTGAATGCTTGCGTTTCTCAGGTATGGTGTACGAACGTGTATAAATATGAATATGATAGCATGTTTCAGAGACAGACTGAGAGAAAGAGACGTTTATAGACAAATAAGATGATCGGAAGCATGTATATGAAACAAAAAGCATGTATATTTGTATCATTTGTGCGACATAAATGTCATCTGTGTAATTTTGTTCCAGTTAGACTTAGGGATATCTAAATTGTGAACATTAGAGATAAGAAGATGGGTATGATTTACATATATAGGTTATCCCGTGGTTTATGAGTTGATATTCAATACTGTTTCTGAAAAACTAAGACAAGGAGGATTACAATCTGCTTATGTGCAGTGCAAAATTCAGTTTCTGGGCATGGACCTTAAAGAAAAGTCAGTGTGAGGGTAATGGGAAGGCATGCAGACCAGCATCTGAATTATAGGCCAGGTCAAGGAAACCTAGTGTCTGGCAATACAGAAAATGACTGAGTGATATCATCTGAAGGCAGGCATTAAGGCAAACAAATTGAAGTGTGAGATGGGAAGAATTTTGAGTAAGAAAGACCAAGTGAAAATGCCTCCAAAATAGCATTAAGAATGAGCTAAAGTAGCAAGGAATGTGTTGTTTCTTTTCAAATAAAGCAGTCAGCTTTAGCTGGATTGATGCCTAATTATGATTTAGTGAAAAGAAAGCACCTGGCAAGGCAGATGGGCATCAACTCAAGCAATAACTTGAGTGCTGGGGAGTTTAGACTTTGTCTTGAGGAATAGGCTGCTGGAGATTTAAGTGGACAAAATGAGATATTTGCTTGGGAAAGACGTGTTGCAGTGCTAATAACAACTTTGGATAGGCGAGAGATTTGGTATAGGAAAGTTAGGAGAATCTGTAGTACACTGATGAAAGTATGAGGTAGAGAAGTAGAGAGTGGAAATGTGCAGGCATGTCTTGGTCACTAGTTGGATGAAGGAAAAGAAATAAAGACAACTAAGTAATTTCAAATTTTTTATTTAATTTAACTGAAGTCAAAAGAAAAAAATGGGGAATGCAGAGGGACAATCAAGCTAGGAAGGAGACTAAGAGTTTAGTTTGGGAAGATTTAAGTTGAGGGTATATATGAAGAGTTGTTCACAAGGCTATTATAATGTGGTTTGTTTTTTTTTTTTTCTGGAACACAGACATAATTCATGGTTTAAGATACAGATTCAGGTGTCTTGAATATGTGAAAGTATATGAGGTCAGGTAGGTGGAAGGGAGAAAACGAAGCTAGTGAAAAAATAACTTTGTTAAAGGCCTTCTCCGCACCCCCCCCCCAGCTTTGTAAAATAATTACCTACCAAGTCCAACCCACTGTATATTGGTTCCATATTTAGACACCAATAGTAACTCTCTATAGATGACTCTTCTGCATTAAAACCATTCAGACCAAAAAGGAGCTCATTACTCAGACATGATCATAGATATTTATACATGTTTATTCCCATTAGGATTGTTTTTTATGATATATAATTTTATGTTGGTATAATATCTGAAAATATAGGTGTGGAAGAAAAATCATGGAATCAACAAAAAATTTGGATACTTATTTTTGCCCATAGATCATGAGAATGTATGACTAAATTCATTTTTTACATCATTTGAAAAAAATGAGCTTACAATTTATGTTCTCTGATGGGATTAAATAATAGAATTAACAACAAAATATCTCCTACTTTATAACTTACATAAACATTTGGGGAAGGTTCTGGTCATGAGAGTTTCATAAAAACTACATTCTGACAGAGAGAACATGCCCCCCATTATGTGCCCACACTCACCGAATCCTTCTCTTGCCTTTGCTATTCCTTTGCCCAGGAAGCCTCAAATCAGGCAACCATTATCTCTACCTTAAACCTAACAAGATTTCCAGCTCCATATCAGAGGTATCCTGTCCACCTCAGATATCATCCTCAGTTTCTATGACAGCGGAGGATCCGTAGTACCCGCTCACGCATTTGCTTAGTCCGGGCTCCATAAATCAAGGGGTTGGCCATGGGAGGCACTAGGAAGTAGAGGTTGTCAATGATAATCTGGATATAGGGAGCCATATGGTAGCCTAAAATCTGGGCCAGGACAGAGAAGACAACAGGAGAATAAAAGAGAGCTATGACACAAAGATGGGAGCCACATGTACTGAGAGCTTTGCCCCCTGCCTCCCTAGAGGGGATCCGAAAGACAGCATGAAGGATCAGCCCATAGGACAGAATGATAAAAAGCAAATCAAATCCCACAGATGTTACAATAACCATGAGGCCATAGACAATGTGGTTGGAGATGTCCCCACAGGCTATCTGTACCACAGCCATGTAGGCACAGTAGGAGTAAGAGATGATGTGGGTTTGGAAGCTTTCCAGTCTTTTTGCCAGGATGGGTGCTGGAGTCAGCACTGCCACTGCCCTTGTCAGGACAGCCAGAGCCATCTTCACAAGTATGTTGTTAGCAAGGATGGTTGTATATCTCAGAGGGTACCAGATAGCCACAAATCTGTCAAAAGCCATGGCTAGGAGGATCCCAGACTCCATGACATAAAATGAAGGGATGAAAAACATCTGTGCGAGGCAGGCATTAAAGCTGATGTCTTTGGCATTCATCCAGAAGATCCCTAGCATGCGGGGCACAGTGACACTGACCAGGGACAGGTCAACAACAGACAGCATGGCCAGGAGGAGAAACACGGGCTCATGAAGACTCTTCTCCACCCAGATGATGCATAAGATGGCGGCATTCCCAATCATTGTAATGACAAATACCAAGAAAAAAGGCACAGAGAACCAGCCATGGGAAGATTCCAAGCCAGGAATTCCAGCCAGGACAAATGTCAAGGGTTGAGGAATGGAGTTGTTGCAAGAGGACATCCCTAATCTGAACTCCTAACAGTCTGATTCCTAGGGAGAAAGAAGGGACATTTTGAAATCACAGCATCATTTGCACCTAAAATGCTGGGTATTCCAGTAGCTTATGGTGATAATCATAATTATACTGCATAAACTAATGATCAAAAGCTTCAGTTACTTAAGGTGTGGAGGGATATAATCCTAGGCTACTCTCACTGAAGAAGGGAGAAGCAGTCTCAGGTATAAATTTTAAATTTTGAAGAGCCCCCAATAAGAGTGGCATATCTGCTAACATACCACTGTAATGTTTATACATCATAAATTGAGATCTAAGTATTTCATGTGTCAACTGCATTTGCCAAAAAGCACACGATAGCCACAGGATAGTCAGACCTCCTCGAAGGTAACTTGGGATAGTTAAAATAGCAAAGCCTTTGAGAAAACACATGTCTGGGATACAATCTCAGTCCTGCCACTTAAGTGACTTGATCAAGCTGTTTAAGACAAAGCCTCATTTCCTCATCTCAAAATTGGGATGAGGCTTACCTTTCAAAGCTTGAAGTGAGGATTAAATCCATGATTAAATTTCAATATTGTATAAAACATGCAATGATCCTGGTATAATTTTCCGAATGTATTGATATTCTATACATGCAAATTTTCTTCTTTTTCTATAAGTACAAATTTTAAGTGAGATATGGAAAAAGTAATGTTCTTTTGGTTGTTTCTTGGAAAGAACTGTAACGAGGATAATGAATACTCTTTAATTGACACCATAAAAAGGAATATTTGATGGCCCTAAATAACTTTATCCTTAAATACTAAAGAGCAAAAAAATACTAAAGAGCAAAAAAAAAAAAAAAAAAAAAAAAAAAAAAAAAAAAAAAAAAAAAAAAAAAAAAAAAAAATAGTGTCACCAGAAATAGATATCTGGCCAAATAAAGGATGTTAAAAAAATTTTTAAAGGTGCATTTTAGTCCAATAGGGGGAATGATCCTATCACAAATTCAAATAGAAAAGACAGTCCTGTGACACCAGAAGCTCACTATCAATTGGAGTTTTCAGGTAGAAATTGAATTATGAACCATGAGGAATAATGTAGATAAAATTTCTCCATGTGATGGGGACATTAGGACATTACAGAGTTTTAACAACATGGTAAAGTTCTGTCTGAGCAATCACGAACAGTTGCCAGGAACAACTATATCAACATTAATCATAAGTAAAGACACCACCAATTTAGACATAAAAATTAGAAATATACTTATTTTCTAAAGAGTGTCACTGGGTATCCTAAAGATTGTAGATTCCAACCATGGCCTTACAAGGGCTGGTGATGGTAGTATGTGGATTAAAAGAGAATCTCTTTTTCCCTCCATGACCTTGCATCCCAGGATTTTCTACTCTTTTCCCTCCTTTTCCTCTCTTTTCCTAGAGTAAGTAGTACCTGTAGATGGTTGTGAGTCTAGTCACAGTGGGACTGGGAGCAGCAAAGCATTCATTTACTGAAGGTATGGGGAAGATCTGCTGATGACCAGAATAAAAGGCAGATTTATGCTGTTTGTTCTGGTCCTTGGGGATCCCTACTGGCCTCTCTGTTGGCAAAGTGCCTTATTTAGCCTGGATATTCTGGAAAACAAATCCTAGAGCCAATCACTAAGGACACCACGTACGAATAAGAGCAGATATTAAGGAGCACTGTAAATCTAACTGTTGATAAGGTTTAGAAACCCTAGAGAGAAAGAGTAAGGGCTGGAGAATCATTTAGGATGGAAATTAAAGCACACCTGGAGTAACAGAAGGCAGATGTGTGTGAAGCTATAAGCATTTTAAAACTGCTACAGCTTGCTTCCAAACCAATAGTTGAAATCATTTTCATTTCCAGTGACTTCGGGACCTCTATAAGCAAAACTTAAACTAAAATTAGGAGTCTTGATTTCCTAGATGCAATTAAAATCCACAAAAAGTTGGGAAAAAAAGGGGGATTAAGAGCACACTTATCTTGATGAGCCCTGAGAAGTGTACAGAATTTTTTTTAAGTTTATTTATTAATTTTTGAGAGAGACAGAGAGAGAGAGAGAGAGCCCAAGTAGGGGAGGGGTAGGGACAGAGGAGGGCAGAGGATCCAAAGTGGGTTCTTTGCTTATAGCAGAGAGCCTGATTTGGGGCTCAAACCCACTAATTATGAGATCATGACCTGAGTTGAAGTCGGACGCTTAACAGACTGAGCCACCCAGGTGCTCCCAGAATTTCTGAATCATTATACTGTACACCAGAAACTAATATAACTATATGTTAGTTACACTTCAAAGAATGTATCCACTGAAATACATCTTAAGTGACTAAATAAGGCCCTTGTTAGGTAAGTATGATACATAAAAAGAAACATAAAGGAGTGAGATTAAAGTAGGAACAAGAGAGGAGCTCTATAAAAATTTTTTTAAAAAAGCACAATACTGGGTTTAGGAGAGACTGAGTTTCAGAAAGACCTTTGGCAGAAGTCAGAAGCTCAATCTGAGAGTAAATGGTAAAGAGAGGGAAAATCTGTTAACTGTTTTGCTGGTGGTCAAATATAAAGATCCTAATGATAGTGACTGGATCTTGTTCGTTCACTTTATTTCCCCAGTGCCTGGTGAATTGCAGGTCTTCCAATGTTTACATATGAATAAATGCACACACTCTTCCCCTGCCCCCACAGGTCTCCACTCTAGACTCTAGGCCTATAATAACACCTGAAGGGTAACCAAAAGTCCTGCAACCTGTGAGCAAAGTCTTCATTAAGCCATTTTCTCCTAGCCTAAAGTATACTCAGGGTACTCAAATAAATTTAATTCTTTCTATCATGATTGCTACCAACTTGGATCAAATTATTATCATATTGTCCTCAAAAACTTTTATAATGTTCTAAGAGGCCTCTTGCATTCCTTTCTTCCATTCTTTGTCGCAAAACATTTTCCTCACTGTAGTCACAATGGTCTTTTTATTTTCCCTGTATGTTTCCTTATTTTTGAGAGGGGGAGAGAAAGAGAGAGAGTGTGCATGTGCAAGAGAGAGAAGGGGACAGAGGATCTGAAATGGGCTCTGTGCTGACAGCAGAAATCCCCATGTGGGGTGGAACTCACAAACCATGAGATCATTACCTGAGTCGAAGTTGGATGCTTAATGGACTAAGCTATCCACGTGCCCCACAATGATCTTTTAAAAACACAAACATGATGTCACTCCTATGCATAAAATGTTCACAGTCTTCCTCTCATTTTTAGGATAAAACTGAGAATCCTCAGCCCCAGACATCCACTCTTCACTTCACTATCTGTCCTTCAGCCCACAAAATGGACTCTCTCCAAGTTTTCAAACATATGGTGCCACTTCCTATCTAAAGATCCACCCACACATGTTCACATATCCTGTTCTCTTTCCCTGTAACATCACCAGTCCCATTTCATGATCTTTCTTTTCTCAGCTGCTTAACTCCCACTTGGCATTCAAATGTGTTTGTTTTTTAATTTCCTTTTTAATGTTTATTTTTGAGAGAGAGAGAGAGCGAAAGAGAGCGAGTGAGAGAGAGTGCGAGCAGGGGCAGAGCAGAGAGAGGGAGACACAGAATCCAAAGCAGGCTCCAGGCTCTGAGCTGTCAGCACAGAGTCTGATGCGGGGCTCGAACCCACGGACTGGGAGATCATGACCTGAGCCAAAGTCGGAAGCCCAACCAACTGAGCCACCTAGGCGCCCCTCAAATATCATTTTTAAGGAAGCTTTCCTTGACTCCCTTAGACTAGAGCAAAACCCCATGTTATGTGCACTTACAGAAATCTTTGTTTCTACTTGACAGCCCTTAGTATCCAGTGTAATTATCATTTGAGCATCATTTAATTATTTCACATTACATTTCCCCAGAATGTAAAGTCCCTGAGACATGGACTTGTGTTTTGCTCACCTCTTCTCAGGACCTAGCACAATCTGGCCCATTTTAGCCACTCCATCATTTTTTGATGCATGAATATATGAATAAGTTGTATATCTTCCTTCCTGTAACTAGAATTCAATTCAGAATCTTTGAAGATTTAGATTTAGTTTTGTGTTTGTTATTGTTGGACATTTCTTATTTGCCATCCATTGGTATATAATCTGTGAGTACTAACTCCTTAGTTTTTATTTCCAAACCTAACATGTAAGCAATGCTGATACTTGTCAGGGGATATATTATAATTAAATTCCATGGTTCATGGTACTCCAAATAACAAAAATATAGCAAGAAGGTCCAGACTTAATAATTTGTCTTCAGGAAACATCCAACATAATGGCAATAGTCTCAGAGTTTACGTTTCCTTAAGACGTCTTTTCTCTTTAGACTAGGAGAGATCTGTCTCTACTGTCATTGTCATTACTCTCCATTATCTTACAAAAAAAGATCATTGAAAGATATCCTTATGGCTTTAATGCAGGTCCCTTAATTACAACTATCACATGATCGGGAGTTCTAAAATACAGGAAATGTGAATTCAAACATCTTATTGCTTTATTCATTCCTTCAGAATCATTCACTGAACACATAGGTTCACAGGACACTTGGAGGTGTTATAGATAAAAAGTAAATGAGATTTCAAAAAATACAAAAACACTAATTCAAAAGGATATACACACCCCTATGTTTATAGAAGCATTATTTACAATAGCCAAATGATGGAAGGAGCCCAAATATCCACCAACTGATGAATGGATAAAGAAGATGAGGTATATATACACAATGGAATATTACTCAGCCATAAAAAGGAATGAATCTTGCCATTTGCAATGACATGGATGGAGCTAGAGAATATGATGCCAAGTGAAATAAGTCAGTCATAAAAAGGCAAATACCATATGATTTCACTCATATGTGGAATTTAAGAAACAACAAACAAGGGGAAAAAAAGGAGAGGAAAACCAAGAAACAAGACTCTTAACTATAGAGAACAAACTGATGGTTACCAGAGGGGAGATGGGTGGAAGGATGGGTTAAATAGGTGATGGGATTAAAGAGGACACATGTCATGATGATCACTACGTAATCTACAGAATTACTGAATCACTATATTGTACACCTGAAACAGATATAACATTGTGTGTTAACTGTGCTGGAATTTAAAATAAAATTTTAAAAGGGGCGCCTGGGTGGCGCAGTCGGTTGAGCGTCCGACTTCGGCTCAGGTCACGATCTCGCCGTCCGTGAGTTCGAGCCCCGCGACGGGCCCTGTGCTGACGGCTCAGAGCCTGGAGCCTGCTTCCGATTCTGTGTCTCCCTCTCTCTCTGCCCCTCCCCCGTTCATGCTCTGTCTCTCTCTGTCTCAAAAATAAATAAAACGTTAAAAAAATTAAAAAAAAAAATAAAAAAAAATAAAATTTAAAAAAATAAAAAAATAAAAGTAAATGGATTTTAAAGTGGGATTAATTACTGTCATTTTTGTTTAAATCCAGACTATACCACTTAGTCAATATGTGACTATGAGCAAATTATTTAATCTCTCTGAGTCTAAATTACTCATATGTAAAATAAAGACTAATAATCTAGTGATTATGGTGATAATTATATAATTTAAATTGCATGTATACGTATCAATGTAAACATTTACCCACACACATATATACATATAAATGCACACCTATGTCTTGCAAATCTGACATATAATAAATACACAAAATTATACTTGTTATGATAATCCACGATGTTAACTATGTTAAGTGTTTTATATGCTTTCATTCATTTAATCCTTAAAATTCTACGGGGCAAGAAATCTTACAATCCTCATTTTATTAATTTTGACAACAAGGTCCAGAAAGTTTGGACAACTTGCCTGTGAGCACACAGATAGAAAGTGACAGAGATGAATAATGAACTCAGCACTCTGCTTCTAGAGCCAGTGCACTTAACCCCAAACCATACCAAGAGTTTAATTGGCAAAAGGCATATTAAGAATTTAACTAAAATCTATCATGGCATTTTTTTAAATAGAGGTGGAGGGAATTTTTAATTAATTTGATTTGAGGAAAGAAATGTAATCTTTCTGATAAGGTGGGGGAGTTTAAACAAGAGCTGGATCTTGAAGGATAATTAAGTTCTTCCCAGGTGACAAAGAGAATAGGTAGGAGAGAAACATTCTAAGCAAAACATGAAGATATGGAGAGACGTATTGTTTGAATGAAGGCAGGGGACTTTATGAACAGGACCAGTTCAAATGATATATAAGAATGACAAGAGAAGGAGCAGAAAAGAATTTCATTAAGTTTTGCTTTGCTATTCTGGTGCTTACATGGGTCTGACATATCAATTCTGTTTGTTTTCTAAATTTTTATGAGGATAACTATGATCTCAATGTAAAGGATGTATTAGACATAGTAATTAAAAGCTAATGCTTTGAACATATCAGTGGCAACTGTTGAAATATCCCAAATTGAAAATTATAAAAGCTTGAACAACATTGCAACAGAGTCTAAGGAAAAGGAATACATAGAAGCGGCCCAGATATTTACTTCTAAGAAGCTCCTATACTAAACAGAAGAAAGAAGGTACAAATAATACTTTACAAATAGAAAACCACAAAAGAGAACATCAATTCAAGGAAATTCAGCATGTGTTTATTGAGTGACTCTGGAGTAATTTCCATTTTGTACAAGCCAAGAAGTGAAGGAATCAAATTTTTTTTTCTAAAAATTTTTTTTTCAACGTTTTTTTATTTATTTTTGGGACAGAGAGACACAGAGCATGAACGGGGGAGGGTCAGAGAGAGGGAGACACAGAATCGGAAGCAGGCTCCAGGCTCCGAGCCATCAGCCCAGAGCCTGACGCGGGGCTCGAACTCACAGACCGCGAGATCGTGACCTGGCTGAAGTCAGACGCTTAACCGACTGCGCCACCCAGGCGCCCCGGAATCATATTTTTTAAAGAGAAAATATTCAGACTTTTACCAGTAAAATACTTATATCTTTTTTAATAATTTTATTTTTAATTATCACCAGGAGCATAATCACTAAAAATGTATTAATTGAGTTATTTATAATAATAGATACCTCCTTTAGCAAGCACATGTAATATCTGTATCTAGTTCAGTGGGCTTGGGCCTAAGCTCTGGGCAAATTCCCAAGTAGATACCATCAAGCATAAAGTTGTTTCTGGTTTCAGGATAATTTGTGATGAAGGTAAAGAGAATATCTTTAAGAGACCCAGTCTTAGTTTAGATAACAAAACAGTAAGAGGCACAAGTTATGCTTTGTGGAGACAGAATATTCTTTTTTTTTTTTTTTTTTTTTTAATTTTTTTTTTTCAACGTTTATTTATTTTTGGGACAGACAGAGACAGAGCATGAACGGGGGAGGGGCAGAGAGAGAGGGAGACACAGAATCGGAAACAGGCTCCAGGCTCTGAGCCATCAGCCCAGAGCCCGACGCGGGGCTCGAACTCACGGACCGCGAGATCGTGACCTGGCTGAAGTCGGACGCTTAACCGACTGCGCCACCCAGGCGCCCCGAGACAGAATATTCTATGAGCAATATGTTTAAAAATTCTGTGGGCTTGATTATTGCACTATTGAACTTTTCCACATTTCTGCTAGACAACTTGTCTTGTGTGTGTCCATTCTTGTGACTAAAATACACAATTACTATGTCCTGTATTAAAAAGACATCAATCCTATTATATTGCCTCTTCTGTAGAATATTGATAGTGATCATTAAATTTTCAATTGTAAATACTTTACATGGAATATTTGAGGTTCTCATGGGCTTCTTCACTTTTTTTAAATCACGCCTACTTGAAAATAAACTACCACCCCCAGTTACAACACAGATCAGTAGCAGCAAGGAGCAGAAGGGGACTGCTTTCCAATTAAAAAAGCTTTAAGGAAGCTCCTTAAAATCCATGTGTGCACAAAATGTCTCATGCCCTCTAGTTTCACTACAATTGTGGAATTTCTATTATGTGTGGTCACTCTTCTCTGTGAAAATGTCTGATTTCAGTCGGAGAAAATTCCATGTCATTTATAAAAATGGGATCAATTATTTCCCTACTTCCCTTCTGATTATGATACCATCTCTGCAAACAATTCCAGGATAATCAAGTGACTTTTACCTTTAGAGAACTAAGGACATGGTCTCGAATTTTTTTGGTTCTAATACCATAAACAATGGGGTTAAGGAAAGGTGGTACCAGAAGGTACATATTGGCAATAAAGATATGAATTTGGGGGGCCACATTGTGGCCAAAGCGGTGAGTGAGGAAGGTAAAGACAGCTGTGGAGTAGAAAACAAGGATGACACAGACATGAGAGCCACAGGTTCCTAGAGCTTTAAAACTTGCTTCCTGTGATGGAAGGTGAAAGACTGCACGGAGGATTAGGGCATAAGAGACAGCAATGAAGAAGCCATCGCAGGAACCAATGACAGAGGCTACACTGAGGCTGTAACGTTTGGTAGCTCCTGTGTCCACACATGCCAGCTTCACCACGGCCATGAACTCACAGTAGGTGTGGGTAATGACTCGTGTTCTGCAGTAGGGCAGCTGCCTGAGCAGGATGGGATGTGGGGAAAAGAAGGCCACTCCCCGGAGTACCACAGAAGCTCCCATTTTGGCAATGCGAGCATGGGTGAGAATCGTGGTATGGTGCAGCGGATGACAAATGGCCACGTAACGGTCAAAGGCCATGGCCAGGAAAAAACCTGATTCCATAGCAGTAAAGCTATGGATGAAGAACATTTGAGCCAAGCAAGCATCAAAGGCAATGTCACGCGCTCCAAGCCAGAAGAGACAGAGCATGCGAGGCAGTGTAGATGTGGAGAGGACCAGGTCAGTGACAGAGAGCATGCACAGAAAGAGGAACATAGGCTCATGGAGACTCCGCTCTGCCCTCACCACGGCCAGGATGGTCACATTCCCCACCACAGCTACCATGTACATGGAGCAGAAGGGAATCCCAATCCAGATATGCAGGTGCTCTAGTCCTGGGATGCCCATCAGCAAGAAGGTGTCTGGAGATGTTTGAGATTTATTGGCTGGTCCCATAGTACTGCTGCTCTCTGTCTTTTGTGGAAGCAATCCTCCTTTTTAGGGCAACAGTTTTCTGGCAAGATCATCACAATCAAATCTGGCAACAAATGGAAAACAAAACTGGAAGACCCCAAAATATCACATTAGAAAACATTCAGGTTATAATTTAGAGTGAAAAAAAACTTAGTAACACTAGGCAAAACTATGCAACCCAACACAAAGCCCTTTTTCTAAATCAAGTCATGAATTTCACAAATTTGTTCAAAACAAAGCAGAAAAACCCAACTATGTAACATCCATGTACAATAAAACTCAATGCCACTCCTTGAATTCACAATTCGATTCAGTCATAAGGCCAGATTAGCTTTTGCTAAAATATCTGGTGTTATAGGCAAAATGGATCTTAGAATTTATCTAGTCCAGCAGCCTTCTCAATGTCATCCTGAAATGTAATTTTCTAGCCGATGTCTCACTTTCTCAAGTATAGTTACTCATTTCTCAGACAGTCCTGTTTTTTCTAGTGCTGTCACAGAACCAAGCTCCAGGAGCTGCAAGGCATTACTGGCCTTTCTGATGGAGCACTACAGACTCACCTGTCTTCTGCATAGTCTTCACAAAGTCATTTAATACTCATGGTTCCACTAAGTTCTCTTCTGTTCTGTACATTCTGTGTCCAGTTCTGAACTTTTATTACTTGTATTTGAATATACTAGTCACTACAGAGATACATGCACTTGTTATCTCTTTTGATTTCTACACTATTAGTGTGATTTCAGTTCAAATTATTTCTTATACGAAGTAAGGAAGAAAAGTAATACTTAGTTGATCCTAACATGAAAAAAGGCATTGTCCTGGAATCCTTCTATTTGTTGATTTTAGCTAGAAAACCAATGCAAACCAAATATTTTTCTGCCAATTTTACCAGTTAGGAAACAGAAGCCCAGAGTGCTACAGATAATGCAATGGCAGCACAGGAAGTCTGGCGAGAGACCAGAACTCTTAACACAAAACTCTGCATGACTGCCAAATTCATGATATTTTCATTATGCTATACTCAATATTTCGTGGCACAGTTGTCAGTCTTAGTCAACTATAACCTATTGATATTTTTCACAATCTTCAAGTCAGATTTCTCAAGATGATTTCATTTAATTTTTTTTAAAGGTTATTTAGTGTGAGAGAGAAAGAGCGAGCAGGGGAGGGGCAGAGAGAGAGGGAGAGAGAGAATCACAAGCAGGTTCCGTGTTGTTAGTGCACAGCCTGATGCAGGGCTTGAATTCACAAACTGTGAGATCATGACCTGAGCCAAAATCAAGTCAGTCACTTAATCAACTGAGCCACCCAGGTGCCCCAAGGAAGACTCTCAAAGAGATTTTAAACAAATGATTAAAAAACTAGCCCTTTCATTTAAACGTTATAATCTGTAACATTTTAAAATAATCATTATCATGTGTTTCTTTTGTTATTATTAAGCATTTATCCACATATATACACCTACATAAAAACAAGTGAAATATAATTTTGATGTAAGTAGATTCCAATAACAGGATTCTTTTTATGATCCTGGAATATGTATTGATCCCTCTAACATGGTGTGTATACTGTTTATTAGTTAGAAAGAGACCTATTAAATATAATAATAATGAGATTACAAACACTGAATCCTGTTTACTACATTATAATTTAAAATTTTTTAAATTTTTTACTGTTTATTTTTGAGAGAAAGAGACAGAGTGCAAGCAGGGGAGGGGCCAAGAGAGAGGGAGACACAGAATCCGAAACAGGCTCCAAACTCATGAGCTCTGACTAAACCACCCTGGCACCCCTACATTATAATTCATAAACACTGGTCAAATGCCTTATTAAACTGGAATATGACTTACATTGCCCAGTATTTGGGGAAGAATGTAGAACACATCAGACTGATTATATATTTGATTAGAAATATTCTCAGTGTTATTGGGAATTTTTCTCAGTTTGGCCTGGGCCTTATAAAATGATCATTTATATAATACTTTCAATTATTACAATATTTGGCTCAGAAGAAATAAAGTTCAATACCTTGAAATTGGTCAAGTATCACTAGTGATGTTATCATTTTTTCCCTTCCATCTGATTATTTTCATTCTCATCATAGACTCTTCTTATGTCTTTTTATTAAATGCATTTATCTCCATAATAAGATTTAGGTTGTCTTATACATACTGACTATATCTTTTTCCCCAGTATTATCTTCTGGAAAGTGGGTGAAACAAAAACTTGCTGGGAGGATTAAGTTAATTAATACATTAACAAATTAGAACACTATCTTACAAAGAGCAAGAATTTAAGAAACCAATCATTCTAATGGAATTTGGTAATCATTCTATAGGTAATGAGCTCCAGTAAAGTTTCTAAGTATCCATAATAAGATCTGCATTTTAGATAACAAAATAAACCATTCTTTCCAGCCTTTTCACCAGGTACTCTTTCTATACCCTCCATGGGGTAACACCAACCTTCTAAGTATTCCCCAGTATGTCATGCTTCTTTGTAAAATTGTGCTTTTGTTCACATACTTTTCTAATTGCAACTTTCCTCCCCCTCCCTTTTATTCATTTCCCTTTGCAAACTACTGCTCTTCTTACAGTGTCTAGCTCAAAAGTAATCTCCTCTCTGACTTTTTGCTGAATTACCTCGGACAGAAATTGGCAGATTATTTCTCTTTGCTCTTATTGCATCTTTACAAGTCTTTTACACTTCTTTTCGACAGATCTTATCAAGTTGTGGAATATTAGATTCATAAATATATTATTATTATCACTTTCATAGGATTAAATTCTCCTCAGTATAGAAATGATAGCATAGCTAGATATTACCATGACCCAGCCCTGAGACTGGCATTGGATGATGCCTATTAACACAGTAACACAAGTAGCTGCACAGCCTGTGTAACTCCACATCCCTATTCTCACTGACAAATCTATCGTGTTTCCCAACACGTTCACAAATGCAATGCCATGTCTGATATTTATCAAGATTTCCACAAGATACCTAGATATCAGAGGTAAGATAAGAGAACTATCCCTGCCACCTCTGCCCATAGTGAAATAAAAGAGTTTCTGCCTTTGATCTTTATTACTGCTTTGCTCTTCCATGATTCTGAGACAGGACTCCAGGGACAGAGAGATAAAGCAACTAATTGAAAGAGGATTTCAATATAATTACTGCTTTATCTGAGGGCTTCAAGATCCTGATGACTCACATCTCCACTTTCAGAGAAACACAAAGCTATTCACATTTCTCTGTTGGCTCCCAACACGTTTTAATTAACAAATTGAGGAGTACCTGGGTGGCTCAGTCGGTTGAGCGTCCAACTTCAGCTCAGGTTGTGGTCTCATGGTTCATGAGTTTGAGCCCCACACTGGGCTCTCTGTGTCAGCACTGGGCCTGCTTCAGATCCTCTGTCTCTCTCTCTCTCTACCACTCCCTGCTCATGCTCTCAATCTCCCTCTCTCAAAAAATAAACATTAAAATAATTTTTTAATTAATAAATTCATTCAGAGAAGATCTAGATACCTGTACTCACATATGCCTAGAGACCCAAACAACCAGATTTTTTGTACATCTGAAGTTTTCTTTTGTATTGTCATAAATTATGTTACACTACATCCAGAGATCCAAGCATGCAAAGACTCTTCAACTTTTTGAATACAACATAAAGCCTCCTTCAAAAGCACACCACTTTAATGCTCAAAAGTACATTCAAATATGCATGGATATATCAATAATCGTATATTTTAAAGCACAAGCAAAGCACTTTGTTATACCTACTAAAACATACCCTGCATTTTTTCTTAGAATTATTAGTCTTCCTACACTTCAGCCTGGAAATCAACATGTGGGTGTGGAGGCGGCACACAGAAATATCAACTGCCTTCTTTTAGAAAATCCATTTAGGTGAAATGTTTATGTCCCACAAAGGTTTACAATGAAGTATTTCTATACTTTGTACTGTCTCTTATCTGTGCAGATTAACTAGTTTGAAGATGAACTACATCAAATATTTTGATAGTTAATGTGACTAAGAGAATGTAGGAGTCTGGAGTGTTTTGAAAATAAAGGCTATAGGGAGAAAAGGCTGGCTATGGCTTGATCTTGACCAATTGATCACCTCAATAAACAGACACAGTTTTTTCACCTTATTCCAAATATTTTTCCTCCCATAAGATTTGCAATGACTCATCACATCTAATGTTGAGCGGAAAGAAACTGTTCTTTGCTCACAGCTGTCTCAGACCTCAAAGCCTATCTGGTCAAGCAGCTTTAATGCTATATTAATTCTAATTTGGGGTATATATGACCTTGTGCTCCCTATACTTCAGAGCTAATTAACCTATATTTTTATCAGTTATGGAGAAAAAAGGTCCATTCTACCTTCTAAGTATATTACATGTCTATGATCTTTATTCTGAGCTTTACTAAGTGTATTTGAAGAGATGAATAAATTACCTTTTTGACGACCTCATAATTCTATAAATGCAGATGTTTGAATGTAGCCCTCTCCTCTCCTTCTCTGTCTTGTATCTCTATCTTAACTCACCCAAATCAAAAGCTGGGAGTCATCCAGAGAGTCAGTTTCTACAGGGAGTACATGCTAAGAAGTGTGCTCAGTGAACATGAGCTATCATTACATCCACCTCTAAATTCCACTGGATTAAAGAGTGTAGATGGCAGGGAAATCAGTGGTCCTCTGGGACACAGGGCCTTTTCCCTAACTACAAGAACTAAATTCCTTATAGGTATAACAACCATTATTTACTATCCCTTAAGATAAGAAATAGAAACATCATTATTTCCCAAAGGTCTGCTGAGTACTTTGACATGGAATATATTTGCAGAATTTATCAGGAAAAAATATTATAAAACCATAGAATCAAGGGAAAGGATTATGTTTATGTACTGAGAGATCATCATTTTCTAGACCCTAGGCTTAGTGCTTAAAATCCCTTCTCCCACTGAACTTGCAAAACTTC